GTGTTAATGCCATTTGGAGCAAAGCCTCAGAAGTCAGCCTCTCAGTTTCTGTGCCCTGATGGCCTGGTCCCAAGGTCATCTCTGAAAACTTTTGAAAATGTGGTCTTGGCATCATCCCAGCAGTTTCCGTGACTTGCTGTGGGATTAACTTCACAGATTCCTCCTCTTGTGGCCAGATCTCAGAAGCTAAAGCTGCAGAGGCCGTGTCCTGATGCCTTGATCTAGAAGTTGAACCCAGAGATTTCATTGCTTCTAAGTGTGGTTCCATGGTAAGTTTCCTTGATTCAACATGTAAGTGTGTTTCAGGAATTAACCTCCCAGATTCTTCCAGTGGTACAGTGAAATCCACAAATTTATTATCATGCATTAGTGGCCCTAGAGTCAACGTCTCAGGTTTTGTACGTTGGGGCCCCCGTGGTCCTGGGGTCAATGGCACAGATTTCACACTTTGAAATTGTGGTTCTGAGGCCAACTCCTTATAGTTCATAAATTCTGAATATGGTCCTAGATTCAGATGAACAGACTTCATACCTTGAGACTCTGGGTTCATCACTTCTGGGGTCAGATCTTGAATCTCTGATCCTGGGACCAACTCTGGAGATTCTTGTATTATGTGTTGAGACATCCGAGTCTCCAAGGCTTTTACGCCTTGGAGCATTGTCTCAAGAGCACCTTGGAATGGCATTGAGTTCATCTGCATAGATTCTAAGGTCTGGCTCAATGGCCTTGGAGTACTTCCTAAAGATGATTGTTTCAACTCCATAGATTCTTTCCTCTGGTGACAAGTGTCAGAGGTCAACTCTGCTTCTGCTCCTTCGTATCCTGGCTCTGTGATCATCCCTGAAGATTCTAAAGCTTGATGCCATGGAGTCAATCCTTCAGGATCTATGGCTTCATGATTTGGCTTGAGGCTGAGCTCTACAGATTTCACTGTTTGAGTGCGTGCCCCTGAAATCGGCTCCTCGTATTTCATACCTTCCACCTGTGTTTTAGGAATCAACCTTCTGCATTCTACCATTCGAGGAATTTTCACATCTTTAAGTAAGAGTGCTGGAGCTATCTCCTCTGGTCTTTCATCAGGTAACCATGGCTCTGGGGCCAACTCCATGGATTTCATGTCTTCCTGTAGTGGTCTTAGGGTCAACTCCACAGCTTTTATATCTGGAAACTCTGGTGGCATGCCCAAATGAACATATTCCAGACCTTGCAACTGTGGAGCGGAGGTCAACTCCATTGATTTCCTATTCTGTAACTGTGGTGCTGGGGCTAACTCAGCAGATGTTCCACTTTGTTCTTGTGTTCCTAAACGAATAGATTGCAGACCTTGAAGCTGAGACGTTGGGGCTAACTGCACAGAATTCCCACTTTCCAGCAGTGGAATGGGTGCCAACCCATCAGATTTTACAGTCTGCAGTTGAAGTTCTGGGGCCGATTCTATAGAGTTCACAGTTGGGATCAACTGTCCATATTCTGCCATTTGTGGGATTGAACCTGAGGTTCCGTCTATAGGTTTTACATTTTGTAATCCTGGGGATAACTTCATGGAATCCACAACCGTAAGCTGTGGCATTGGCTTCACCCCCAAATATTCTACATCTGGAAGTAGTGATGTAGTGGTCAATACTGAAGAATCTGTGACTTGATGCAGTGGCTCTTGATTCATTCCCTCAGACGCTGTACTTTGACCCAGTGACCTCGGGACTGTACCTAAAGATTCCATTATTTGACGAGGTGACTGTGTCAACTCAGTTAGATTTCTGACTGTGGGGTCAGAGGCCAACCCTCTAGTTTCTATAGTTTGGTGGCTTTGCCTTGGACTCATCTCTGAAGGTTCTAAGATTTGATCCCACGGGGTCATCCTTGAAGATTCTATGACTTGATGTGATAGGCCTGGGGTTAATGCCATAGTGTCTGTGCGTTGATGATATGGTTGTGGAGTCATCCCCACAGAGTCCAGCACCTGAATCCATGACCCAGGGGTCAACTCCAGAGGTTCTTTGACTTGAGGTACTGGCCTCGAGGTCAAATCCGGAGTTTCCACAATTTGTGATTGTGATGCTATGATCATTCCCATGGTTGACCCCAGGGCTACTGGAGTTACCTTTAGAGAATGTACGGATTGATGTGATGGCATTGGAATCACCCCTACTGATTCTGTGACTTTAGGTGGTGGCTTTGGAGGTAAACCCACAGTTTCTACAACTCCAGGTGAACCAATAGTAGTAGGAGAGCCGGAAGTCAAACCATCTGGTTGAGTCACTCCTGGGGTCAAATTTGCAATTTTAGACTGTGAATCTCCATATTCTATAACATGTGACTGTGCTGATGGAATTATCCCCATGAAATCCACAGCCTGTAATAGTGCCACTGGAGTTACTTTTGTGTAATCTGTAACTTGGTGCAATGGAGTGGAGATCATTTCCAGGGATCTTGTGTTTTGACACACTGGTCCTGGAGGAATGTTCAGTGGTTCTATGGCTTGATTTTGTGGCCTTGAGGTTATGTCCACGGATTCAGCAACTTGAAACTGTGGCCCTACAGTCATTTCCACAGTTTCCACAACTTCATGTCCTACCTGTGGACCTATGTCTCCTGGTGGCATGACTTCATGATCCAACGATGTGTTTATATCCCCAGACTCCATGGCTGGATACTGTGTTCTTGGGGTTATTCCCACTGATTCTATGATATGTGAATGTGATTTTTTAATCATCCCGATAGAATCCATGACTTGAAGCAATTCTACAGGGGTTACCTTCACATTATCTGTGACGTGATTCGGTGATCTGGAGGTCATCTTTGATTCCATAACTTGATGCTGAGGACTTGATGTTACCTCCACTGATTCAGTGATTTGATATGATGGTTTTGTGCTTACACTCACTCTTTTCATCGTTTCCACTGGTTTCCCAACTTCATCTGGTGGCTGTGGGAACAAACCCACAGATTCTGCCACTTCTGAATGTGACTCTGGGATGATCCCCATTGAATCCATGACTTGAAGTAATGCCAGTGGAGTTACCTTTATGCTATCTGTAACTTGATATGATAGCCTTGGGGCCAACTCCACTTTAGTCACTTGGGTCTCATGCTGCTGCATCCTTTTTTCCGGAAAACCTATGACCCTCTGGTCTATACTAAGCTCTAGGATGTGTTTTGGCTCTTTCTGCAGGAAATTGGTTTCCTCTTGAATTATGTCAACTCCTAAACTTTTGGGAGGTGGAGTGCCCAGTGATGTAACTAAGGGCCTGGATTCAACGATTTGGGGGCCATCCCCCAGTTGTGACAGCTTACCTGGGATAAGTGACTGTGAAATTTTTGTTTCTGTTCTATTCAATCCAGATTCCACTCCAATATTCACATGGAGCTGGAATGATGGACAGTTTGGGGATTTATTGTTGATACTTTGTTCACTGCTTTGATGGATAGGCATAGATACCTGCATTTGAGGTTTCTCTGGTTCAGGGACTCCTCCTCGTGCCTCAGTTAAATAATGCAGCATTTCCCATGATTCCTTCACAGGCAGAGGAACTGTTTGTTCCTTCAAAGTACAAACCTTCCAAGCCATATGTCCTTCTAACTTCCACCCAGCCAAAGGAGAGAGCCGGAGTGGAGCCCGCCCTGAGAATCCTGGTCTTGCCTTGCAAATAGAATTTGACCCATGATCCAATGTCAAATGACTCTTGCTCCCTCTCCCATTCTTTGTTTGTTCTTGTTGACAGAGACCTGGGGATTCAAAAACAGAGCTGATAAAAGAGCTTTGAGACCTTAATGGTGAAAGAGCTGCCAAATCCTCCAAAAGATGTGATTTCTCAAGCTGTGAGAGTTGAAAAGGGGGCAGGGATGTGCCTTGGTTCCTGAGCACAGAAGACTGTTTTTTGGGTAAAATAGGTAAACTACGGCTCTGGAGTTGCCAGGTTGTTCCTTCAGAAATGACAGAAAGGTGTGACAGGCTGGAGCTGTTGCATAATGATCCAGAGGAGATGCTGTGATCAGTAGAATGTTTTGCCTTCTTACAGCCACAACAGGGTAGAACAGGCTCCTGAGACACAATAACAGAGGAGGTAGAGGAAGAAATCATATCCGAAGATTCTTGCAAACACGAGTGCATAAGACTTGATCTAAGAAATAAAGAAAAATTCCATTTGCTTTGAAGCAGGAGAAGGTAGGAAAAGTAGGAAAAGGGAAAGATAATGGCCATTTCAAATGTAAAATATTTTGACCTGAGGGAGTACAACAACAAAAGAGGTTGCTTTCCCCAACTTCAATTATTTATAGAAAGAATTCCTCTACCAGGAGGAAAGGGAGGCCATTGTCTCCATTGCAATCAGAAATGATTCATAAACCAGTTGTTCTTAAACCTTTGAACTCAGAATTCATCCCCACTATCAAAACTAACCAACCAACCAACCAACCAACCAACCAACTAACAATCTCTCTTTTCCCTCTCTCTTTCCCTCCCCTCCTTCCCTCTCTATAACCCTTCCTCCCTTCAGTCCCTTCCTTCCTCTCTCTTAAAAGTTCTACCAGCTTTGGGGTACCTGGCTGCCTCAGTCAGTATAGCATGCAATTTTTGATCTCGGGACTGTGAGTTTGAGCCCCACATTGGGGGTAGAGTTTACTTAAAAAAAAAAACAAACAAAAGACCTTCCATCACTTCAACCCCCACCCAGAAACTACCTTCCCTGACCTTGTGCATTCCAGATGTTTGAAGATCTGTTGAAGACTTCTGGTCATTGACCAGAGTATATATTCCTGGGCCCATCCCACAGGGAGTCCTGAAAAGCTGGATACAACAGAGTGTGTCAGTGTAATTGAAGTGATATTAAAAGTACTAATAAGGAAACCAATAAGAAGAGTGGCTTAAGTTAGAAAGGAAACTACTATCACAGTCAGAAAAGTAAAACAGTACTAGGTATCTTTCTCCTCACTTTACAGGGTTTATCAGTAGGGTAGGCTGAAGAAAGAAAGAATAGATAGTGACGATCAATTTTACTCACTTTGTCAGGTTAGCTTCAGAGCAACCCATTCTGAGATTTTCTTCCCACTGGGAAGCTGGGAGCAGAGGTAAAGAATCTGTTAGAATCATAATTATTGATACCACCTAGTTCAAGCCACTTGTTTTACAAAGAAGAGATCGAAGGTGAAATCATGTCCAGGATCATAAAGTTAAGTAGTGATAGAGCTCAGACGTAATGTAGGTCTAAGTTTTTATATTTTAAAATATACTATGCCGCCTTTACCATGTAGTGGATGTAAGTCATTGGAAACAGCTGAAACAATCATGGTAGGAGGGAGTTGGAGTAAGGGAAATAAATCTGTAATACATATTTTTTCCTTCAAATGAGTCTATTCAGCGTCTATGGCAGGGGAAAAATGTATCGAAACTTCCCCCACTAAAGATCTCATCAAATTTCTTTCCTGATACTTTGAGTTTTGCATAAAAGGAAATTAGGAAAGAAAACATGAGGAACGGAAGCATAGAAAGAACTATAAATCAGTTTACATCTCTTTGGAAGTTGCCAGAAAGAATTTAGCATCTTTGGAGATGTTAGGAAGAATAGGCACATTTCTTTCACTTATACAATCTTTTTCAACCTCCCACCCTCTACCTGTTATTAAAGTCTACAGTCTAAAAGCAGACCCACTGTTGATTTGTCATTAGCCTTGAGCTAAAGAATAAAGTATAAGATCTCTCTGACCTGTGAATTTCTGGATCTTTTTCAATTTACGCTGCCTTGAAGTCTAGAGGGGCACAAAAAGAAAAAATAAAACCAGAAAATGTTCTAGGTTAGAGAATTTATCAACAGCACATTTCGTCTTACAGATACAATTATTCATCCAGTTGGTAACCATAACCACAGCAACAATTACCACCCCATTCACTTATTCATAAATTATCTAATGAGCGCTTACTAACTTCTAGGCATTATGTTAGGTGCCAGGACTACAAAAGTAAATGAGATCCCTGTATTCTGGGAACTCACATTACTGGGGAAAACAGATGGCTAAACGGCTAAGTTACAATATCAGGTGGTAACAGAAATATAAAGGTTAGGGAATAAAGAGGACAGTGGTTAACTGCCTGGGAAAAAAGGAAAAAATTACTCAAGAAATGGCCAGTTGAACTGGAGTTTAAATTATCACCAGAAGATTTTTAGGTAAAGAGAGAGCATTCCAGCCAACGGGAACATGACCAAGAAGATTATAAAGTCATGATTTGTTGGGTGTACTTTTGCTAAGTAGTGAGAGATGAAACTAAAATATAGGTGGAAGCCAAGTTGTTCCAGGTCATTTTATCTATCTATCTATCTATCTATCTATCTATCTATCTATCTATCTTATTTGACAGAGAAGAGAGCACAAGCAGGGGGAGTGGCAAACAGAGGGAGAGGGAGAAGCAGGTTCCCACCTGAGTGGAGAACCTATTTCATCCTAGAATCCTAAGATTATGACCTGAGCCAAAGGCAGACACTTAATCAACTGAGCCACCCAGGCACACCCCAGATCATTTTAAAGACAGAAGTGATATGTGTTGCCATTTCAAATAAAATAATTTTTATTTCTTCCTTTTGATTCAGGACATCAGTCTCTGAGAGCATATTAAAACAGCCTATACAATTTTATTCATAGTATTAGCAAATGTTTTAGCTAAGCAATCGGATGTTGGATAGAAGTGTTGAAAGTAAGATCTCCCAAGAACACTAAGGTGGTTTAACCTAAGAAAGTAAACCAATGTGATATACCACATTAATAACACAAAGAGAGCAGCACCTGGGTGGCTCAGTGGTTGAGTGTCTGCCTTTGGCTCAGGTTGTAGTCCCAGGGTCCTGGAATCGAGTCCCCCATCAGGCTCCCCATGAGGAGGCTGCTTCTCCCTCTACCTATGTCTCTGCCTCCCTGTGTGTGTCTCGAATGAATGAATGAATGAATGAATGAATAAATAAATAAAACCTTTAAGAAATGACATGAAGAGGAAAAACCTGAACAATAATGTCAACTGATGGAGAAAAAGCATTGGCAAAATCCAACACTCACTCATGATTTATAAAAAATAGAAACACTCAACAAACTAGGGTTCGAAGGGATGTCCTCAATATAGTAAATGGCATTTATGAAAAACCCTCTACTAATATAATTCTTCACAGTGAAAGACTGAAAGCTTTGCCTTTAAGGGGGGAACAGACAAGGATACTCACTTTCACTACTTTTTCTTTAATATTGGACTAGAAACTTCAACCAGAGCAATTAGGTAAGAAAAATAAAAGCCATCTCAATTGGAAAGGAAAATGTTAAACTATCTCCATGTCTATTCACAGATGACATAATCTTGTTGTCAGAAAATCCTAAGAACACACACACAAACCCAATTAGAGCTAATAAATGAATTTAGAAAAGTTGCAAAATACAGTAAATCAGTTGCATTTTTACAAATATTTTATTGATTTGCGAGAGACCCAGAGAGAGAGAGAGAAAGAGAGACAGGGGCAGAGACATAGGCAGAGGGAGAAGCAGACTCCCCACAAGGAGACTGAGGTGGGACTTGACCCTGGACCCCAGGATCACCCCCTGAGCTGAAGGCAGATGGTCAACTGCTGAGTCACAAAGGCGTCCCTGACATGTGGTTTTTAACTTGCTTTAACTTCAGAGAACAAACTGATAGTTACCAGAGGGGAGGTGGGTGGGGGATGGGTAAAAACAGGTGAAGGGGATTAAGAGTACACTTATCTTGACAAGCACCGAGTAATGTACAGAATTGCTGAATTACTATATTGTAAACCTGAAACTTATATAACACTGCATGTTAACTATACTGGAATTAAAATTTTTAAGTAATAAAATAAAATTTTCTGTTCTGAAGAAAGAAAGTGGTCTGTGGCCTAACAGCAGTAACAGAACCTGGGAACTTGTTAGAAAGGCAGACTCTCAGGCAGCCCCCGGGGGGGGGGGGGGGGGGCGGCTCAGGGGTCTAGCGCCGCCTTCAGCCCAGGGCGTGATCCTGGAGTCCTGGGATCCAGTGCAGGGATGGAGTGCCAGGATCAAGTCCCACATTGGACTCCCTGCATGGAGCCTGCTTCTCCCTCTGCCTATGTCTCTGCCTATGTCTCTGTGTCTGTCTGTCTGTCTCTCTCTCTCTGTCTCTCATGAATAAACAAATAAAATCTTCAATAAAAATAAAAGAATCACAGGGTTAACCAACTGAGCCACCCAGGCACCCTCTGCCATTTTCTTTTACTTTTTCTTTTTTTATAAATTTATTTTTTATTGGTGTTCAATTTGCCAACATATAGAATAACACCCAGTGCTCATCCCATCAAGTGCCCCCCTCAGTGCCCGTCACCCAGTCACCCCCACCCCCCGCCCACCTCCCCTTCCACCACCCCTAGTTCGTTTCCCAGAGTTAGGAGTCTCTCGTGTTCTGTCTCCCTTTCTGTTATTTCCCACTTGTTTTTTCTCCTTTCCCCTTTATTCCCTTTCACTATTTTTTATAGTCCCCAAATGAATGAGACCAAATAATGTTTGTCCTTCTCCGATTGACTCATTTCACTCAGCATAATACTCTCCAGTTCCATTCACGTTGAAGCAAATGGTGGGTGTTTGTCATTTCTAATGGCTGAGGAATATTCCATTGTATATATAAACCACATCTTCTATTTATTTATTTATTTATTTATTTATTTATTTATTTATTTATTTATTTATTTACGATAGTCATACAGAGAGAGAGAGGCAGAGACACAGGCAGAGGGAGAAGCAGGCTCCATGCACCGGGAGCCTGACGCGGGATTCGATCCCGGGTCTCCAGGATCGCGCCCTGGGCCAAAGGCAGGCGCCAAACCGCTGCGCCACCCAGGGATCCCAAACCACATCTTCTTTATCCATTCATCTTTCGATGGACACTAAGGCTCCTTCCACAGTTTGGCTATTGTGGACATTGCTGCTATAAACATCGGGGTGCAAGTGTCCCGGCGTTTCATTGCATCTGTACTTTGGGGAAAATCCCCAGCAGTGCAATTGCTGGGTCGTAGGGCAGATCTATTTTTAACTCTTTGAGGAACCTCCACACAGTTTTCCAGAGTGGCTGTAGCAGTTCACATTCCCACCAACAGTGCAGGAGGCTTCCCCTCTCTCCACATCCTCTCCAACATTTGTGGTTTCCTGCCTTGTTAATTTTCCCCATTCTCACCCCTCTGCCATCTTTCAATTGCATATGGGATTAATATTTATCAGAAGCATTCAGCCTGGCATTCAAAGCCCTCTACAATGTCATCTCTACCAATTTTCTAAAATTTTCTCTCATTGGGCTCCCTATTCTACACGCCATCCTCATAGGTGTCCTCTCTACAAACACATCCAACACTCTTCAGCTTCCCATGCTTTTTCTCAATCCATTCCCTACATCAGGAAAGTCTTCACTACTCTCTTCCATCCACACTATCCACCTTCAAAGCCCTACCCCTCCTCTGAAGCATACTTCAAACCCGAGCTTTCCAGAGGCATTTTATAGATCTCCCTGCTTCAAAACACTCCACCTCCAACGTCTGCCGCAATATTTATTCTTCTATTAACTCATCACGTTCTCTTTCCTTGGATTATATATACATACCCATTTGATCATCTCCCCCAGTTCACCTCGAGCTCCTAAAACGTGGGAGATGGTGTTTTATTTTTCTTCAATGTCTAGTATGCTACCACATATAATAGGTGCTCGAGGTTTGTTGAAACAAACTGAAAGGAACAGGATCGAGCATGACTTGTACTTATCGAAAGACATGCATAGGAACGATCTCAACTCCCCTCTTTCCCCAGCCAGTTCCTCTCATGGCCCAAGATGTGGGAGTTGCCATGGCTTCTGGGGCAGAGACAGGGAGCAGTGAATTTCAAGGGAGGGTTGCATTACATACCTTGGAGTCTGTCTTGGTTGCCACCTGCTTCCTGCTCTGTTTCCCAGAAAAGAGTATCCAAAGTCCCCATGCAAGGAAACCAAATAATAGTAGAAGGCTGACATACAGTGGAGGTGGCATAGCCTCCAAATGGCACTCCAAATCAGTGCCATTACTCAACCCATTGCTCCTCTCAACCCAATGCTCCTCTCAGCTCCTCTCCCTCAAGGCTGTGTCTGACCCCATATGATGTCACAATGGAAACTTCAAGGTAAACCTGACAGGGCCCAGCCAATGTCCGAGCTGCTGGCCTCTCTCCTCTGAGCCATACCCATCTGCTGCCCTTTTCTGCACCTGCTCACGGGTTCTGTCCTGACAATCAATGCTCAGGGAAGGCCTCCTTTACAATTCTACTAGGATTTGGCTGGACAACTTGTCATAAAGTAGAGAATATGGAGTCAAGATTTCAAAGGCTCCAAGTCGCCTGTCTTGCACTAAAGCATCTTCTCTTCTCTGGAACCAGTCATTCCATAGAGGGTCAGTTATGGTGTCGTATGTTCCCAAATCACAAACTAGAATACAGAGTCAAATACATTTAAGAAAGCTTGGATATCTTAAGTAAACACTCTCAGAAAAATGTGATACATATAATTTCCTACTCCAAGGCTTAACCCATTTCTTAGTTGCTATAGCACTGAAACAGAGAAGAGATGTCACATAGGGAAATTAAATAATCTCAGAGGATCACTCTACTCCAGAATCCAGGGTCTCATTTTCTAGAACATTTATTATATCATTACACCCAGAGCTACCTGGATTTTCTATGCTAATTCACTGTAAACAAAATTTACAAGGAATCGA